GGGGGGCCCCAGAAAAAGGGGGAACCCCCCCCCGCCCAGCCAGCCCCGCGCCTTGGACCGCCCCTCCCTGGGCCGGTCCCTTTCGGGGGAGGCGCCCCGAGTCCCCCGTCTCCTCTGCTCCCCCGGTCTCCCGCCGTCAGTCAGACCTCGTCCATCGCTCCCCGCACACCCCTAGTCTGGCCCTGTGATCCCTGAAATCGCCCCCTGTGTCCCCTCTGCCATCTTGGGGGGCTCCTCCGCACCCCAGCTCTCGGTCGCCTCCTCCGTGCCACAGGCACCTCCAGGAGGCGCCCCCCCCCATGGTCCCTGGGGGCTTCCCGCTGTTCTCTGCCTCTTCTGGATCTTGTCTTCTGTCTGTGGGTTCCCTTGCCCGGGTCTCCCCCTTACCTCCCCCATCTCATTCGCTCTTCAGAAACAGCCCCCCAAACTCTGTCACGTGTCACGATGTCCCTTTTGACGTGTTGGGGCCATGAATTCTGTTGACGACATTCATTGCCTGAGCTGGGGAAGTAGAGGGCAGGGCACAGCTGGGGTTGCAACCCTGGGCCTCGGGAGCCAGGAGAGCCTGTTTATATCTGTGGGCCTCAGCCAGGCACTGGGGAGGGAAAGGGCGTGGGTGTAGGACTCCCAGATGGGAGTTGGGGGTGTCCTGCACCTGCTGGCGGTGGGGTGCAGAGGAGGTGATGCGGGGGAGGGTAGGGCCTTCTAGGGGACCCTGTTGTGCTGTGCCAGGGAGTTCGGGCTCCATCCCAGACTCTGGAGCCAGGCCAGCTCTCGGAAAGTGGAAGCACTTTACACATTGCCTGTTACCTTATTCTGGACTAAACCAAGCATTCTGTCTAAAAGACATCTAAGTACCGGTGACGGGGGCAACAGCTTTATGGTACAGCAGCCCCCCATCCTGATGATTGCTTTTCCCCCTCCCTTTGAGGTCCCTGTCCTGGGCAGGTGTGTCCCTGCAGGTTCCAGCAAAGCAATGATGCCAGCTGTTGCTAATGCAGCCACCTCCGTGCTTAGAAGTTGGGGATGACTGGGGCTGGGGCCAGCCCTGCCACCGAGGCCGCCCTTCCCCAGGTCCACAGCACCCTCCAGCCTTCAAGTCAGATCAGTCACTGACCCGAAGTGGTGTGGGTCAGCTCTTATCTTCCAGAGACCCAGAAGGGGCACGAGCTGCCCAGGCCACTCCTGGAGACTCTGGGGACTGGGCCACCAGGTTGCCGAGTGGGGCCACTGCCCTCCCCTGCCCTCTCACCACGCCCCCCCAGGTCGGGCTCAGCAGCCGCTCGTTCCTCAGGGCGCTCTCGTTCCTGGCACTTGTTCTGCCAGAACCTACGGGTCAGACCGCCCCTCGGGGTCACCTGCTTGGCCGTGCCCTGAGAGGCAGTAAAGTGCAGCAACTTACGGTGTCTGTGCACCGAGGTCCCCATTGTAAAACCGGTTAGGTGGTAAACTTTGTGTCGTGTGTATTTCACCACAATAGAACAACTGGTAACAAATACTTTTAAAAAAGATAATACATGGGACCAGCAGTTAGCGCAATGGCTATGTCACTGGATTCCCACGTAGTCGACCGCAGTTCGCGTCCTGGACCCGGTGGCTTAAAACTCACGCCGGGCGCATGTGTGTGCATGCCCAAGATCCCGAGAGGAGAACGGAGGAGAAGGGATTGCGGCGTGACCATCCCCCGGGGGGTGATTTCTCACTCTCTGTCTCTGTCTCTGTCTATCTGGCGAGCGCACACGCCCTATAGCAAAAACCTCTCCAAAAAAAAAAAAGAGAATACAGCTGAGTGCGCACCTGTAATCTCAGCTCCTCAGAAGGCTGAGGTAGGTTGAGTTCGAGGCCAGCAACATAAGGAGACCCGGGGCCAACAGGTGGCAAAGTGGTTAATGCACTATGCTCCCACATGACCAGCTATGGTTTGAGTCCCAGACGTGGTAGCTTGAAAATCCTGCTGGGAGCAGCAGGTGGTATAGTGGTTAAGGCATTAGACTCCCATATGGCTGATTGTGGTTTGAGTCCTGGACTTGGAGGCTTGAAACTCACATTTGACATGTGTGTGCATGCCCAAAATCCCAGCAAGAGAATGGAAGAGAAGGGATTGCAGCATGGCCATCCCTCGGGGGGACTTCTTCCCTCTTACTGTCTTCCTCTGTCTCTCTATGGCAAAAACCTAAAAAAAACCACACACACAAAACAGGACGAAACAAAAATATATAAAGTAGAAATGATCAAGGTCACATGATGACCCGCCTGTGGATGTGAGCAGACGTGTGCTAGCAGATTCCCTTAGCTCTCAGCCAGGGAACCAGGCAGGTGGCCTTATCAGGGTTCAAGGCAAAGGCCAGGTCCCACCCTGACAGGGTGAAGGAGGTGGCAGGGGGCGGGTTGGGGCGGGGCTCCTGCAGCACCCACAGTTCATGAAGCTGCTACCCGGAGGGCTCCTCCAGAGTCCAGCCAGTGTGTCCCACCTTCTCTGTGTTCGCCCCAAGGAGTCTCCACAGTTTTTTCCTAATTGTCCATCTCCCACATGAAATCTGTGGTCGCCATGTGCGATCCGGCCTCTGCCACGCAGTACCGTGGAGCAGCACTGTGACTGCACACCATAAGCCCCCGCCCCCCCACCCCAGAGAGCGGGACTGGAAGAAAGGACCCCCTGGCAGGGCATGGCCATGTCGCAAACCCTTCTCCTCCATTTCTCCGTCCTTTCAGGATTTGGGGCATGCACGCACATGTGCTTGGAGTGTTTTTCTAGCTGTGGGAGCTGGGATTCGAACCGTGCAATTGGCCACATGGGATCTGGTTTCCTTAACCATTAGCACAGAATGAAAATAGCACAGAATACCCCATTTCTATGTAGGCTGCAAGGAGTGTGAGAGAAGGTGGTCTGGCCGCGCAGGTGCCCACTGAAGCCAGTGGTCCTCATGGACGCCTCCTGCCCTCAGCTGCTCTGCCCCTCGGCCCTCTCCCTCAGCCTCTGGTAGCAGCTGAAATCCCAGCTTTGCATTTCTCCCACTGAGGAGGCTTTCTTTCCTTTTCTTTTTTTTTTTTTTTTT